GGGCTCTCTGAAAGGGGCGAAGGAACTGAACCCAGCTCGGCCGGGCTGGCTGCATGCAAGACAAATGCCCTACCACTGTGCTATCGCTCCAGCCCATGTATATATGTAACGTATGTATATATGTTTTATATATATATATACGAAATATATGTAACATAAAATTTTCCATTTTAACCATTTTTATGACTTTGTAGTTTTGAATCAAGTAGGTTAATGAATATATAAGTTACTGCACTTGAAAATTTTCTTTTTCGGGGCTGAAGCAATAACACAGTTGGTAGAGCGCTTGCCTTGCACACAGCCGACCCAGGTTCAATTCCCAGTATCCTATATGGTCTCCTGAGCACCGCCAGGAATAATTCCTGAGTGCATGAGCCAGGAGTAACCCCTGTGCACCTCCGGGTGTGACCCAAAAAGAAAAAAAAAAGCTTCCTTTTCCTTTCTTTTCTATTTTTGTTTTGGTGCCACATCTGGCAGTGCTCAAGACTCCTGGCTCTGCATTCAGGGATCACTCCCAGCAGGGCTAGGGACCATAAGGGATGCTGGGAATTGGACCCAGGTCAGCCATGTGCAACAAGGTAAGAACCCTGTTCATGGTATTCTCTCCAGCCCCTACAATTTTTTTTCTAATAATTATTTTATAATATATAAATATATCTAATCATTGTTCTAAACACCTTAAACACCTAGTGTTATATCTCGATTAGATCTTCAGAAATCTGAAAATTTCTATAAAGAGTGAAGATGTACTAACTCCATTCATTCAATAGACAATGCTTAAGTATTTACTCTGATAACTGATGATAAAAAAATAATTAGATAAGAGCTAATCTTCCAGTCTAGTGGAGGAAGCAAACAATTGCAGGATTCTGAGATAAATGCAGTGACAGAAGTATACGTCATACACTCTGGGGACATTCTTTCATCCAACACTGTGGAAAGTCACAGATATGAACAAGGAACAAGCAGTTGAGGCCCCTGCTTTTTAGAGAAAGTGAACAATCATAGATGAGTACCGGAAGTATGGACAGTGCAGTCTGTGACTCACTGATTTATTATGTGATGAATGTATGTCATAATAGAGAAAGCAGAGGTTGCGTGGGAACACAGTGGAGATACAGCCAAATCTAATCAAACTAGCTTCTCTTCTCCCTGGCTGCCTGGGGCTGGGCCACCATCATGAATGATATAGCAACTGTACAGCTCTAGACATTCCTGAGCAGCTGACATCTTTCCCAGGGGAATTTAGATATGGACAACCTTCTTGCCTGGAAAGTAGCAGAACCTGACACAGAAAGGGGAGGGGAGAAAAGTAGCCAACATGGACATGTCACCACCTCTGGGGTAACATGGTTTTGGATGAAGAACTCATTTTGGTGATGGGCAGACTGGCAGCAGCTTTAGCAGGACTGGTACTTCAGTAGATTAGACAGAGAAAAAGAAGCCCTAATACAGACTTGTGAAATATGACCAGCGTGAGAAGAGTGAGGCCTTACGTGAAAATGGACCAGAGAGATGACTCCATGGGCTTTGCTTGCAGGAGGCCTAGGGGAGCCCTGCCATTGCACGGTTCCCCTGAGCCACGCTTAGAGTGACACCTGAACATAAAGGCGGTAGTCGACCCTGAACCCCACCAGGTGTGGCCCCCAAACAAAAACAGAATGAACAATCAAACAAAAAAATACCCCCAAACCTTCCTGGAATTGATTCCTGAGTTCAGAGCCAAGTGCAATCCCTGAGCACTGCCGGATGTGGCCCCAAAATGAATAAAAACGACAACAATAACAAAGGACATCTGGCAGACAGTGTTGGCACTAGCGAAAGGGATCTGGAGACTGGACAATAGTCGGAACTCTGTATTCGCTTTATCTGGGGAAGTTATGCTGAGTTTCATGAGAGCCCATATTTTTAATACATTGCAATTTTTTTTTTTTAGTTTAAACAGATTCAAATCAAAGTGAAGATTCAGACTTCAGACAAGGTAGCTAAGTTTTGAAAAACACAAAGACATAAGCTAGATGACAGAGAGAAAACACAACCTATAAGAAAACACACATTCAAGAGCCAGGGACAAGAGGGGCAGCTGATGTACGAATTATGCAAAATTGTTTGCTGTGCCTGGGAGAAAGTACAGCAGTAGGTGCTTGCCTGGAATCTTGCCAATTCCACTTTGAATCCCAGGTGCTGCATGAAGTCCCCTGAGCACCACCAGAGGTCGCTCCTGAGCACAGAGCCAGGGATGGTCCCTGCCTATTGCAGCCTGTGCCCTCCACTCTCACCAAGGAAATTTTTTTTTCTTTTTGGGTCAGACCCGGAAATGCACAGGGGTTACTCCTGGCTCTTCACTCAGGAATTACTCCTGGTGGTGCTCAGGGGACCAGATGGGATGCTGGGAATCAAACCTGGGTCAGCCGCGTGCAAGACAAACGCCCTACCTGCTGTTTTATCACTCCAGCCCCTCACCAAGGAAATTAAGAATAAAAACTGGGATTTTATTTACTGTTGTGGGGGGATACAGTAGAGGCCCTGCCTTGCATGCCCAAGACCTGTTTCAGTCTCAGGCAGGCACTCCCCATCTCACCAAAAAAGCATTATCTCTGATGGCTGGAGAAAGGGTATTATTTGTAGTTAATAAGCGAGAAGGGTAAAAATGTAAGTAGGAGTCAAAACCGAGTGCCTCTGTGCTGGATTTTAACAATACTTCCTGAATAACAGTTTCCCTTCACGTGAATATAAGAGTTCATGGGCTGGAGCAGTATGACAGCAGGAAGGGCGTTTGTCTTGCACCTGGCTGACCCAGTTTGATTCCTAGCAGCCCAGATGGTCCCTGAGCTCCACCAAGATTGATCCCTGAGTTCAGAGTCAGGGATCCTGAACACTCACTGGGTGTGGCCACTCTCACTCCATGAGAATGAAAAGAAGAGTTCAACCTGCTGATCTCTTAATAGGTGTCAGCCTGTGCTGTCGGACCTGGGTCACTTTATTGGGCCTCGAAGCAGCCCAAGCAGTGACTCTCCTCATTTAAGAGGAAACTGGGTTGCAAAAAGGTTAGCTGACTTTCCCCAAGGTACACAACTACATGTACACTCGGTCACTGGAGTTGGGATGCCACACTCGTCAGCACTGTGGCTCTCAGCTCTCTAATTTAAGGTGGAATCCTGCAAATATTTAAGACATGACTTTTGAGGGTGGGTGGCCACACCCAGCAGTGCTCAGGGATCACTCCTGGTGGGACTTCTTGGGGGTGCCGGGGATTAAACCCAGGTTGGATATGTGCAAGGTAAGAGCTCTATCCACTCTATCTCTCTGGCCTGTGACCTTTTTTTACCCATCTCCTGTCTTTAATGATTACCAATCAATTTTGTTTGTTTTTGCTTTCTTGTATGTAGACCACACCCTGCAGTGCTAAGACCACTCCCGGCTCTGTGCTCAGAGGTCATGTACAGCAGTGCTCTGGGTGAACTGGTCGCCGTAGATAAAACCTGGACCTCCTGCATGCAAAGCTCAGCCCAATGGGCTAACTCTCCAACCTCTAACTGGTTGATCTGGTATTTATGCTTCTCCTTGGGCCAACTAGCCATTTAAATTTACACACACACACACACACACACACACACACAGCCCTCTCTCTAATCTCCACAGCTCACTCCAAACCCTTTTCCTCAGGAAATCTTCTGTCAAGGCCCACTGGTTTGTCTTTTCATTTTATTTTTATCCATAGCGATAGCACAGTGAGTAGGGCGTTAGCCTTACAAGCGGCCAACATGGCCGACCCGAGTTCGATTCCTCCGCCCCTCTCGGAGAGCCCGGCAAGCTACCGAGAGTATTCGATATGCCAGACACAGTAACAACAAAGTCTCCAATGGAGACGTTACTGGGCCCGCTCAAGCAAATCGACGATCAGCGGGAGGGCCTTTACCTTTACCTTTTATTCAATTATGCATTCTTGTATTGCATGCAATAGGGAAACTACCTAATACTTGCCTTTTTTCTTCTGACTTGTTTGGCTTCACAAAAACATTAAGATTTTTAAAGGTTATTTTGAAATTATGGATTCTGTACAATATTATCTATTATTGTCCCAGAATCATGTGCTTTATCATGTTTTCCTGCTTGAAGGTAGTCTATGCCTTCACTCTTTTATTTTACAGAGGTTTTTTTTCTTTTTGTGATTATTGCCTATTTATTCTTCAAGTGAACTTTCACAATAATTCTGTTGTTTCATTTTTTGGCCCACAGCCAGCTATGCTTAAGGGCCACTCCTGCTTCTGAGCTCATAGGCGCCCCTGGTGCTCAGGCAGTACTGGGGATCAAACCCAGACATCCTGCATGCAAAACTCATGCTCAGTTATCTATCCAGTCCAATAATTTTGAACTAAAATTTGGCAAGAAAGGATTTTGGTCAAAAGTGTCATAAATTCAGAAATTTTCAAATTGTAAAGTGGTGGGTACTTCCATCCATGAAGTGTTACATATGTTCATTCCATCCTTCTTTCAAAAACAATGTACTTTGCCATTTTCCTACAATATCTCATATCTCATATGTTCCTTTTGTGGAAGTATAATATCTTCTTATGCTTTCTGCCTTAGTCTTGATATAGAGAAATGCTATTTACTTGCAAATAGGATCCCTTTCCCTGGATATGCAGTGATAACCATTCAAAAAAGCTCAGAAACAGAGAAGGAATATGTGCGTGATTCAATCACATTCAAACCATCCTGAAAAGATCTAAAAATCTACACAGGAAAAAACACATTCATTGTTTATGCATGTTTTGGTAACACACTTACAATGGTTGTGGCTGACGTGTTTTTATTCTGCTTCTCCCATCAGGAGAGAGAGCAAAACATGCGGGACTCTTGGAGTGCCACCTCCCTCAGATTACGTTGCTCTCCCCGAACCATTCTGAACCTCACAGAGCAGGCTAATCATTGACAGAGCTTTACAATCACCAGCTCTTAAGGGAGCGTTGATAAGACGGTGGAGCAGTCAGTGGCAAATGAAGCCAGGCTGTGCAGCAGAATCTCCAGGGAATGAATGGGTTCTCCTCAGCCCTGATGCAGGCAGCGCACGCTATAGGAAAACAATGTCCACCCGCGGACGGCACACATCTGTCATTCTGTCAGCCTTTATGCTCCTGCGAGCTGTTATTGGATTCTCTGGAGATGGAAGAGCCATCTGGGCTAAAGATCCTCATCTTAGCCTGGTAAATGAAAGTCAGCTGTTTGTCTATGACACTTTTCCTAAAAACTTTCTTTGGGGTGTTGGGACTGGAGCGTTTCAAGTGGAAGGCACCTGGACAGCAGATGGAAAAGGACCATCGATATGGGACCATTTCATCCAGACGCACCTGAAAGATGTTCACAGCCAGAATAGTTCCAGTGACAGCTATCACTTTCTGGAAAAAGACTTGTCGGCCCTGGATTTTATTGGCGTTTCTTTCTATCAGTTTTCGATTTCCTGGCCAAGACTGTTCCCCAATGGAATAGTAGCCGAGGCGAATGTGAAAGGTCTTCAGTATTATAATTCACTTCTGGACGCTCTTGTCCTTAGACGCATTGAACCTATAGTGACTTTGTACCATTGGGATTTGCCGTTGGTGCTACAAGAAAAATATGGGGGGTGGAAAAATGAAACCTTGATCAATCTCTTCAATGACTACGCCACATACTGTTTCCAGATGTTCGGGGACCGTGTCAAGTACTGGATTACAATTCACAACCCATACCTAGTTGCCTGGCATGGATATGGGACAGGGATGCATGCCCCTGGTGAGAAGGGGAATTTAGCAGCTGTCTACACTGTGGGACACAACTTGATCAAGGTATTGTACAGTGGGATCAGTGTTGTAGTTTCAGAATATAAGGAGCAGGAGCTCAAACACACGTGTGTCTTTTGCTGAAATAATTCTTTATTAATATTAAATAATAAAGGTCCTCAGCTTAGCCTAGCCTGATTCTTTAGTATTAGTCTTGGCTTTCGTATTGAAAGTAGTATGGATTCAGTTATCTAAGAAACTATGAAAGTATCTAGTCAGTGTTCCCAAAACTGTGCACTTTGAGACTATTTTTAAGACAACTGTAAGTTAGAGCGAGAGTATATGTTTACTTTCAATCTGTGGGGAAGCAGTTCCTTATTAATTTGATTGTTGAAAGCCTTTTCCGATAACATGCAACTATTTCAGAATTGTACTTAAGGCATAGCCACTTAAAAATGAATTTGTTACTATTGCTATTCTTGGTTTTGTTTGCTTTTGTTTCTGTTGCTGTTTTTCATGATATAATAAGCTAAACAAATGTTAGCTGACACATATTAAGCACAGAAATTGAAATAACTAAAGTTCACCCATTGGTTTTGTTTATGTTACATGGCAGAGTAAATACGATTGTTTTAAGAGCTAAAATTAAACTACTAAAATAAAACCTGGAAAGAATATGCTCCATTAAGCAGTCTATCTCAAAAGCAAGAGCTTATGTTAGAAATGATATGTTACTGAGACAATAGTGAAAATAGCAAATAAGAGCTAATAATATTCATTGAGCTCCTAATTCTGCACCACCGACTAGCCTGAGCATTTAATGTGCATTATCATATGTAACCTTCATGATAACCTTATGAACTATGTCCAACTCTTATCCCAGTGTTAAAGATGAGCCTGGAGATCAGTGAGATTAAATAACTTACCCCAGGTTTGAGACTAAACTGTAGCTATTTGAACATGGAATTTATAAATGACTTTGTATACTAAACAATAAGTGTCCTTGTTTGAAAAGATTTTTAAAAGGCAACCTTGCAGACATTCTCATGAGATTTTGCCTGACATGTTGGTTATTCTCTAGAATTAGGTTACTTTGAAAAATCAGGTAGTATACTTAGAAAAAATTACTCTGAATACTTATTTTTTGAAGATGAAAAAACTTTACTAATGCCATCATGTGTTAGAAGTGGTCATTTGGTTTTCCTTACCCTCCAGTAATTAGATTCTTATTTAGAAAAGTGAACCTTTAAGAACATTTAAAAAATGTTAAATTCCTGGAATTTTTTAAAGTCTAGGAACATAAAATTACTCCATGTCTAACTTTATATAGAAAAATATCTCCTAGGCTGGAGACAGTATGGGGGTAAGGCACTTGCCTCCTACACATTCTACCCAGGTTAGGTCCCCAGCCTTACAGCTATCACTGTCAGCAGGAGTGATCCCTGACCACAGAGCCAGGAATAAATCCTGAGCACCACCAGGTGTGGCCTAAAAACCAAAAGGAAAAAAAAAAACAGAAAAATATCTCTTAATGCCTCTTTTCTTTTTGAACTTTCTGGATTATTGGACATTGTGCATGTATAACACATCATACAATGTAATGTGTGTTATACTATGGTTTCAATCACATCTGCTTTGCAGTAAAAAAATTGCATTACGATTACCAGGTCATTTATATATCTTTGAACAGAATTATATTATGGACATATTACTAATATGATATTGTGACTTGGCAAAACAAGAAAAGCTTTAATGGGAAGAAAACTCATAGCTGTTATGTCTGAAGATTATGCACATATCAATTAAATTTTATTTTATTTGGCTAATTTAACTTTAAATACAACACACTCGTGTAAATTTAGAAACATCAAACTGTATCAAAGAGGGGCTGAAGCGATAGTACAGCGTGTAGGACATTTGCCTTGCACACAGCCAACTCGGGTTCGATCCCCAGCATCCCATATGGTCCCCCAAACACCACCAGGAGTAATTCCTGAGTGCAGAGCCAGGAGTAACCACTGAGCATCACTGAGTGTGACTCAAAAGGAAAAAATCTGTGTTTAAATTGTATCAAAGAATGAAAAGTGAAATCTTTTGGTTGCTAAATAAATGATGTTAGTAATGAGAACATTCATAAAAAATATTCTGGTAGTTAACTTAAATTCTTAAAACCTGGTTTATCCAGAGGCAAGAAATAGTACAAGAGTCAAAGCACTTGCTTTGCATATGGCTAACTTTGGTTCAATCCTTCACAACACATATGGTCCCCCAAACACCACCAGGAATGATTCCCTGAGTACAGGGTCATGAGTAAGCTCTGATCACAGCCAGGGCTGGACCAAAAACCAAAATCTGGGGCCAGAGCAATGGTACAGTGGGTAGGGCACTTGCCTTGCATTTGGCCCATGCAGGTTGGATCCCACAAGGTTCCCCGAACCCCACCAGGATTGATTGCTGACACTGAACCAGGAGAAAGCCCTGAGCACAGCTGAATGTGGCCCAAAAACAAAACAAAAAATCCAAAACATCCATAGACACACACACACACACACACACACACACACACACACACAAATTGAGGCCAGAGCGATAGTACAGAAGGTAGGGAATTTATCTTGCATGTATGTGGCAGACTCAGGCTTACCCCATGGCATCACATATGGTCCACGGAGCACCGCCAGTAATGATTCCTGAGTGCAGAGTCTAGAGTAAGCCCTGAGTGTCACAGGGTATGATGACCTCCTCCCCCCAAAAAAATAAAAGCAAATAAACAAGCAAACAAAAAACCTGGTTATCTAACGAAGAGTCATAGGAGACCAAAAAGTATGTAATGTTGTGAACCAAGGATAAATTGGTACAATTGTATTTTTTTTATTGAATCACTATGAAGTACAGTTACAAGACTTTCATGTTTGAGTTTCAATCATACAATTATCCAACACCCATCCCTACACCAGTGAACATTTTCCACCCCCAATGTCCCCAGTATCCCTCCCCCCAACCCTGGTACAATTATATTTTTTAAATAACTTTCTCCTGATAAACATAAACAGAAGAAGTTCTAACAAGTAGATATTGCTCCTGAACAGCATAGGAAGTGCTGTTTCCAAGAGATAGTACGGTGGGTAGGGGCATTTGCTTTGCACACATCCGACCTGTATTCAATCTCCGACATCCCCTATGGTTCTCTGCATCCCTCCAAGAGTGATCCCTGAGTAAGTCCTGAGCAAAGTCAGGTGTGGCCCCAAAACAAGAAACAAAAAAGTGTTTTCAGATGTGTTGCCTCCAGGTTGAGGTAGATTCTGCCTGTCATACAAAGGAAGTGCTCTGGTTTGATTTGGTTTTGTTTTATTTTATTGGGGGGCACACCAGCTGTACTCAGGACTTACTCCTGGCTTTGCACTCAGGGATCATTCCTGGTGGGCTTGGGGAACCATACAGGATGCCAGGAATTGAACCCTTCTCCACAGTGTGCAAGACAAGCACCCTACCTGTTGTATTATCACTCTGGCCCACAAAGTAAGAACTCTGAAGGTGAGAGAGATGTCACTGTTTGAAATGGAGGGATGAAATTTTTAAGTTATGTTTTTCACATAATTTCTATCTCTTTAAAATTTCGGAATCGTTCACCTAACTCAGGAATGTAAAGGGTTTCATGAAATCAGTCAGGAAATGGAACCTGCTCCATCACCCAGGGGCTGGAGAGAGAAACCTTGCGTGCCTGGGAACCCAGAGGGAACTCATTTTCCCAAATGCCCCTCTGTCCTCCGGTTAACATGGGATACAATCGTTCGATTCTTGTATGTTGCAATCAAGGCTTATCTCCTTATTGGCTGCTTCTTGACCCAGAAGCAGCAATCTCAGGATTTATCTTCAGTCCAAGAACGTAGGTCTAAATGTTTTTTGAAAATCTAGTATAAAACAAAAATTCATGAGATGGTAGTAGGAGAAGGGGGCACGAAGCTACAGTACAGTAGGTCAGTCTCTTGCCTTGCAACCTGACTTTGAACCCCAGCATCCCATATGGTCGCCCAAGCACTGCCAGGTGTAATTCCTGAGTGCAGAGCCAGGAGTGATCCCTGACAAAATCAGGATATGGCCCAGAAAAAAAAACCCTAAACTAAATTAAAACTAAATTTATGGATGATCAGAGACCACTTTCTTCTCCCATCCCCAGATACTGGTAAGATTTCATAGGCGCTGTTGGGATCTTTTTAGTTCTGGGAGAATCCTTTTGGAAGGTGAAGCGGGAACACTCCCAACAGTGCTCAGGTCTTACTCCTAGTTCTGTGCTCAGGTATCACTCCTGGTGGGGTTCAGCAACTCCTGTGTGGTGCTGGGTATCAAACTGGGACTGGCTGCATGCAAGGCAAGTGCTTTACACGCTAGATTCTCTCTCCAGCCCCAGATTCATCTTTAAAAAACTCCATCTGAAATGTCCTGGCTTGACAGAAACCTGAATGGTGCAGTCTGTTCTGACACTGACCTGGAATTTAGATGTCACTATTAATCATCAGAAGGCAAATCTAAGCCTCTGAGGAAATTTTGCCATGATCCCAGACCCTAATAGATGATCCCCTCTGAAATTTTTGGCCTGACTATGGTGACCATCACCTCAAATATTTTCTTTCAGTGCTGAAGCAATAGCACAGCAGGTAGGGCATTTGCCTTGCACGTGGCCAACCAGGGTTTGACTCCCAGCATCCCATATGGTCCCCTGAGCACTGCCAGGGGTGTATTCAGGAGTGTAGAGCCAGGAGTAACCCCTGTGTATCGCCGGGTATGACCCCAAAAGCAAAAAAATATATTTTTTCTCTATAATTTGGTGGGGGGAAGCACCTGGCAGTGTCCAGGGGTTACTCCTGGCTCTGCACTCAGATCACTCCTGGCGGAGCTTGGGGGATCATATGGGATGTCGGAGATCAAACCCAGGTCAGCCATGTGCAAGGCAAGCCCCACCCCTAAATATCACCTTTGCCAGCATCCTATCCGGTACCTTGTATTAGATCTCATTTTACTGAGAATGATTATTTTTTTTTTTCTTTTTGGGTCACACCTGGTGATGC